ATTTTCATTAGGCAGGGGGTGGGGTATGATTCTTATTTGACAGTTGAGGAAACAAAGCCTATAGTGAGTCAGTGGCATAGCCAGAGATTTAAGTCTATGACTTTGCTATTATTTCTCACTGTTCTAGGCCACCCATGTATGGATGGTGAATTATTACAAAACCTTTAAACACATCTGCCAACTTTCAGACCCCACCTGCAACAACAAAAGATGAGCATTCCCACTTGAGAATGCTTTAGAAAACATTGCTTTCCCCCCCGCCATAACCACATTGTTTCAAAACTCTGGGTGGCTCCCCACTTGTAAAAGGTTTCCACGAGCCTTCACAGAATGCACCTTTCAATCTAATCCTCAGCTGCCTTTCCAATTCATGTCCAGATTCTCCAAAGCAAACTGTCATTCTAGTCAAACCGGTGTGTCCATTTCCCCTAGGCAAATGTCCTAACTGTGCCTGCCTTTGATTATACTCTTCTGACAACCCACGAGATCTCCTTTTGGCCTGCGCGTCTATACTTATCCCAAATCAGCTCAAATTTCACTGAATCCATAAGGACTTGATTGCCTCACTCCTGACTGACACTGCCTTCTATCAATAGCATTAATAGTAGACCAGTACTGTCCAACAGAAAGATAAGAATCACAAATGCGAGCCACATATAATTTAAAAATTTAGTCACATTTAAAACATTTTTAAAAGGTGAAATGCACTTTAACAATATATTTAATCTAATGCATCCAAAATACTACCATTTCAACATGTAATCAACATAAAAAGTTACTAATGATATATTTTACATTCTTTTGTTCAAAGTCTTCTTCCAATTATGATGTATATTTTGTGTTAAACAGCACACCTCAATTCAGACCAACCACATTTCAAGTGGTTTAAAACCACATGTGGCTAGTGGGCCATATTGGACAGAGTAGGTCGAGACCACTCAGTTGAACAATTATGTATGAAGTGATATTGTTGGTTAAATAGCGTGTGTGTGTATGTAAAATTTTCCTGAGTGGAGCCAAGTGTATGTCATTTCATAGTTTCCTTTATGACTAGAATTATAGGGACATTGTGGGGGAGGTTTATTGTTTAGAGAGGGTTCATTAAATCATTCACTTGTTCATTCTTCAAACAATTGCATGTCCACTCTAAGATAGATATAATAAGCATTGGGAATATAAAAATAAAAATTAGCCTCAATATAAGGATGTCACAGTCACTCCAGAATCAGAGGGGTAATTGAGAGTGGCCTATATGTCAAAGCAGAAAAAAAAGAGGCCTCCTTAGCTTGTGGTGGCCCAATCCTATGTCCTCATGGCAACACTATCCCGACAGCCCATGCTGCATGGCCCCTAACTTCCCGAGCTTTGCCACTGGCTTGGACATAGGGGTTATCAGACTACCTGGAGTGCAGCCCCGACATTTCCCATCTGGAAAGGTGGGAAAGTCATACAACTGTCACATTTCTCTTGAACAACATCCTCCTTTCAAATGAACTCATCAGGTACTGAAAACAGTTACACTGTTGTAATAGAAATAGAATTTTAGAGGCTAGGTGCAAAGGCTCACACCTGTAATCCCAGCATTTTGGGAGGCCGAGGTGGGTGGATTCATTGAGGCCAGGAGTTTGGGACTAGACTGGTCAACATGGCAAAACCCCATCTCTACTAAAAATACAAACAAATTAGCTGGTTGTGGTGGTGCACACCTGTAATCTCAGCTACTTAGGAGGCTGAGGCACGAGAATAGCTTGAACCCTGGAGGTGGAGGTTGTAGTGAGCTGAGATCGCACCACTGCACTCCAGCC